TGCGATCTTTTGTTTTGTGTAGTTATTTATAATTGTTTTCGATTTATGCTCTAAACAGCCGGCTGTCTAGAGATGTAGATCATTATTAGATGTGTGTATACCGATTTAAACCAACAATAAGGATACTGTTGGGGCCCCTCACAAAGTGTGATGATGGTTTATTTTATTTTATCAATGACCAAAATAATTAATTATAAGCGGTTTGAACTGATTTAAACCAACAGCAAGGATGCTGTTGGGGCCACTCACAAAGTGTGATGGTGGTTTACTTGATTGAATATAAAATAATTATTAGAACCGATTTGACCCGATTTAGACCAACGGCAAGGATACTGTTGGGGCCACTCACAAAGTGTGATGGTGGTTTATTTAGTTCGGAAGAAAATGAATATGTATACTTCTTTTTTTTTATATAATAGAACGAATTTGTACTGATTCAAACCAAAAGCAAGGGTTCTATTGGGGCAACTCACAAAGTGCGATGGTGGTTTATACTATAAGGGCATAAAACAAAATCAAGAGCCATTTCGGTTTCCATAGCTTCCTAGACACTCGGCCGCAAAATAATCTTATCCGACGGAAACGTCTCGATCATCGCTGCACAATGGTTTATTATAGCATTTATAAAGTAAATTTGAATACCTTATTGTTTATTTATTATCCATTTTGACTTGACTTGGTACCGTTCAGTTTTATGATGACAAAGTTGCCTGGAGAAAAGTGACAGTTCAAAATGTTTCGGAAGGGAGTCAGCTAGTGTCGTCCAAGTTCAAGTGCGGAAAAAATGCCATTTAAAGTGGTACAAACAATTGAAAGATGCGAAACATGCCTAACCGTAATTCTTTCTGGTTGGAAAGAAGCTGGAATCCTACACTGGCCGGAAAAAAAACGCGGTAGCGAAACTCTCTCAAGACGAGTTCTCCATGCCAAACCCAATGTGGGAACGTATCAATTGAGTGAAAAAAAGAGAGTTCAAGACTCGCTTGGAGGCTGAAGCAGAATTGGAACAGATGTAGCCAGTTTCGGATACGGAGGCGAACGAAGGGAATAATCCACCACCGTCAAAGAAAGTTTGCCCCGAAGTCTACAAGTCCCCCAGTCGGAAGGGAAACACAATAAGAGACTTTAACGAAGTTTTCCTTATTCCTGGGCAGGAGGTTGACACCTGTGAAGCTGACTGTAAAATCCAGAATCAGATGAGATTATAATATATGCGACACAAATTCACTTTTTTATAGGGGAACATGTGATGTGAATAGAACCCACCATCAGTGCAAGGATTACATATCACTGCAGATACTTCACTGGTTGTAAAGTTCTGCCTGATGGTTTGTTGCAGCTGGGTGAATCAACTTCATTGAAGACCTTTGGAAGACAAACGACAAGATGTACGTCTATCAACACGTGACAAGGGACTGGCAAATCCACGAACACTTGTCCAGTCTACAAATCCATTGAAACCCTTAGGCTGCCCCCCCCCCCCCCCCAAACCCAACATATAATAATGTTTGATTGATGAAACGTATTCAAAAAAGGGATATTTAGAGAGAACAATCTTCAACTGGAACGTACTCACCAAATCAATACATCCGGGAGCGCATTCTCGATGCTTAATTTTCTCTAGTCATTTTTAAACAATTCCTCCTCCAGCGAATCCAAACACACAATAACTAAATATCACTTTTCTTCTTCATGTCACTCTGTGCACAAAAGCAATGCACACCGCAAAAACCTAATAATAGATCAGCGCGGTCGAGTCACACTGTCAACAAAGGGAGCGAGAGCACACCAGGCACCAAAGCAACAGGGGAAAAACATCAGCACAAATCATTCTAAATAGAATTATCGCGTCCGGGACATAAAACTATTCAAATGCGAGCACCGAAAAACTACACGGCAGCACAAAGATAGCCCGAGCTCTAAAAAAAAAAAAAAAGCACGCAGCGGAGCAAAAACACACAACCGTTCTCGGACGCTTCTCAAAGCGGACTCTCAGAACGTGGCCCTTGCTTTTTTTCGATTCAAAAGTAGAAATAGACGAAAAAGTAAAGATGGTAGCTGCTTTAAATGAACCAATAAAATCGATAGAAAAATCCGGAAAACGACACAAACTCAGCAAGAATAAAGTTCCCGTCAGAGCAACTAACATCAGGGACCATTCGACCCTTTCGGACTTTATGACTGAGGCTTCAAGAGAGTTTTTTACTGTAATGAACATCTCCACCGATTTTCTCGGTGAAAACCCTGAACATTGGGATTTAAATCAAAATTATCTGAGAGGTAAGTAAATATAACAAATCATCAAGATCAAAGTTATTTTTTGTTGATGTGTCATGTTCATGAAAATGTATTCACTGTTACCAACCGAAAGAGAGTGATATATTTTCATAAACATTGTTTCGATTTTGAACAAAAACAGTGATTTAAAATTATTGAAACGGTTCTTTTCTACTTAAGAGCGCAGCAGCGAGTTCAAGCTCTTGGGGTTGTGAATGATGTCGCGGAAAGGGCCGTATAGCTTGTTTCCGACCTCAACAACTCGGTAACCAAGAATCCCGAACAACATGAATACCTACAGCAAGTTGTGGAGTATCACCGAAAAATGAAGCCGATGAAATATTGAAGTCTGAGCAGCAGCAAATCGACTGATAGTGTTTGAATAAATTGTGCGCCAAAGCAAATACACCCTTGTGAAAAATCACGCTTGTTTCCAAATGACCCCCGTGAAACATAATTGTTCTACTATACCGGAGACCTGTGTAAAGTTTCATCAAAATCGAAGATTCTTTGCGCATGTTACTGGCTTTCCTCCATGCTGAGTGAACCCCCACACAACGTGACTGCCTCGCGCAGACAGCAGCAGGCGGCAGCTGGCAGTGCTGCTAGAAAAAAAGAATAATGAGCATTTCGTTTGGTTAGCAATCAGTAATAGCTTAATTACTTTTTCCACAAGCGTCGGATCGTTTTGCGGTATTCAAAGAAAAGTTTCCTTGTAACATGGGTTGATTTATTTTTAGAGGACAATGGGTGACCTCATCAGATTTTTTATTTGAAAAAGTAAGTTTTCCCATAGAAAATCCTATGTAAAATTAAAACCGCTGGCGCTAAAATATAGTTCTACCGACCGACCTGAAATTTTACACAGTTATTCTAGGACCCAGAAGGCCCCCGGAAATCATACTGGAACTGGAATTTGAATTTTGTCCCACCCTAATATATAACGTCCGTCTGTACCCGTTCAGCCACTCAGATACTGCTTGCTGTGAGAGCAACGGTTCCATAATAACAAGCTCGAATAGTTTCGAAACAGCACTCAGTGATGTAATTCCACGATAGTTATCCACGGCTCGTTTGCTTCCCTTTTTGTGGACAGGAAACATGTGTGCAAATTTCCAGGAGGATGCAAATATACCACTGGAGAGGGACATACGGAATAGACGGCGAAGTGGAGTTAACAAGCAAGCAATATGTTTCTTCAAAAACACGGACGGAACTCCATCGGGTCCAGGGTTGAAGGACGATTTGAGCTGCGTTGCAGCGTTAGAAATCATCTCAACGTTGACATCAATTGCACCCAGCGTTTGACCAATTAGTGGGATGTTCCTGGCTGCGAGGGAAACATGGTCGTCACTTAGTCTCTCATCAGTGAACACACTGGCAAAATTGACAGAAAAAAAGGCGGCAAATATCCTGCGGAGTGGAAGCGACTTCACTGTTCAATTCCATTGACGATGGGAGACCAGATTCTCTGCGTTGCTCGTTCACGTAGAGGTGAAGTGAGGGTGTTTACCACGTTTAAAATGTGTGTATTTAAAAAAATGCACTGTCTTCCTGTTTTTGGCAACACGCGATTTATGTCTTATTTGCATTCTAGAAAATGCATCGAACGCTTTATTCAATTTGAATTGTATAGAATCAATCTTCACGGGTTAGAGGTCCATGTGGTGTTTCATATAAAAAATATCCAGAAGACACTAGTATAGTAGTGAGGAAAGTAAAAACCGATGGGATTGTCAAAACCGGGTGGAATTATTTTGGAATTTATTGGAAACTCAGGGAATATCAGGGAATTTGGGTTTCTTCATTGAGTCGACACCCTGATCTAGTTCTTGAATTCTCATGTGACTTTATGTGTTACATGGTGATTTTCGGATCTGGCTCTGTTGGCCTCCTCCCAATTGATTTTTATAATATAGAAACATTGCTTTTTCAAGACTGTTACCCCCGCACCAAAACAAAGTTGTGATTTTTTGGACCATTTTTGATTTTCAAAAAAAAAGAAGTGATATTTATGAAGATTTATCAAAAATCCGTATACGTAGTTTCATTAAGCATTAGTTAAACTTATAGAATGCTGATATTACCAAAAAACGCTGTATTTATTGACGAGAAAAAATAACAATCCTTAGGGTGTGCGTCTTACCCCCAGTTCCCCTATTTCGAAATCTAATGTTAAAATTGTCCCCAGGTTGAATTGAACAATGAAAAATGCATTCATCTTTTACAGAAGGTTCCTGAATTTGATCCGCTCATTTCTTTCCGGCGATATTCCACCGATTTTTGGTAACATTCCCAAAATTTAAGAACCTTTCACCACCTCAACCGTAAAACTGTTCCGTGATATCTCAACCATTTTTTTACTTGATTTGTGTTCCGTCGATCTTGTTTTCCGTGCTGAGAACCAATGCTACCGACGCCAGGGAGGCAGCTCCCACACCTGGACCCTACTTTATCGATCCATCAAGCTCATGAACCGGGGACCAATGGCTTTACTGGCCTTCCGAAGGAAGGCGTAATCAGAGATGTTATGCCTCAGAAACATCCCGACGACATCCCAGGCCTGCTGAGGTGAGAGGTAATCACGATTACTACTACACCACCGGCGTCGTTATATCTGAACCATAAAAACACTTATCTTGTTAACCAGTTTTTTTTTGTCACTCACACTGAAAAACAACCGTGCAAACACACTTTCAAAATTGTTGCAATTATAGCCCGTTTTAGGGATTAGCCACATAGGTGCTCAGGGCAGTTGTTGCAGTCGTGGTCAAGTTCAGCAATGAGGCCACAGTGCTTGCCGTGGTGTTGTTGGCTTCTTCCGTAGAATTTCCCACCTTTTGTAGAGCAGCCAGGTTGAACTGAATCAAAATGATCAGATAGCTGGTAATGGCACCGGTTATCTGCACGTAAATTGGAAATTTTACCAACAGCTCAAACGTATATAGGAAAGAAATCATTACACCTACCGCATACAAAGTAGTCATATCGAGATCAAAGAAACCGCAAGCACTGAAATTCAACTGATGATTCAGCAGCTTCAACGACAGGTGGTTAACAATCTGGTAGAAATGGGTCTCGTCCACCATGTTGGCCAGGTGGTGCATAAAAACTCCCGTCCGTTGCGATTCGGTTTTGGTCTTCCAGCAGACGTAGATGCAAACGACACACTTGACCGCGAAGTAGAAGATCTGGATGATGGAAATTGCCGGCACCTGCGCCGATCGGAACAGTACCGGGACCTCCTGCCCGGAGAGGGCGCAATACAGAAAGTAGAACTGCGCCGTGATTGCCATGAAGCCATGTGCCATAGAAACCAACATCTGAAAGCTGAACATGTAGTTCACGGATTTACCGATCTCGCACAGCTCATCGTGGGTGCGACAAATGAGAATCATTTTCCTGTCTAGCTTCTCGTCGATTTCCATGTACTTGTCGAACGTGAGGAACTCAAAGATCGATTGTTTCTGTGCCAGGGCCTTCTCTTCGCTCAATCTCTTTTCGAATGGTTTCACACTGATGATCTTGCCGCGTGGATTTTGGCCATACTGCTTGAAAGGCACCAGAGGCTGCACCGCGTTACCTCTCTTCTGGGTACGAATGGTGAAGATTTCCTTTTCCAGATAATTCATAGGGATGTCATTCTTTTCGATCTCCAACTCATCCTCCCAGCGATCATTGTGCTCCTCCAGCAACCCAGCAAGCTGATCCATGTGGTTGTTCATTACGCTGAACCGATGTCGGACGGATTGAACCAAAATTACGAACCAAATCCGACTGACCGAATTGATTGCCGTGGGAAAAGCCGTTATGAACCAGATCAACGACTGCAGTGTGTACTGTTCGACAAATTCTACAAAGTTGTACGCCGTTAGAAAGCTCTCAAAGACAACGACCAACAGCAGCAGGATGACAACGTAGCGCCGGAGGCGTCCGTTGTTGACGACGATGTTTTCACCGGCCAGCTTCAGGTCGACCTTATCCAAACGCTCGACGCATTCGATCATGCGTTTCTGATTGATCATCGAGGCCAGCATATCGATGCACATCATCAGCGGTTCCATGTAGATGATGAAGATTCCGATCGCGTTCGTTAGGGTTCCTGAGAGAAAAGTAAAACGCAAATTGAAACTTAAATAAAATCACTTTAATTTGTTTAAGCGGAAAGGGGACGTCGGTAATTTTTCGGAAAATCAAAAGCAATTTTTTCATTTAAAACCGAAATTCTGACAATGAAAATGTGTGCACTGTGCTCCGGTAGTCCGTTTTCACCTTAACGTTGTTAAACGTTTACGTTTAACTTTTTATTTATGGATTTCACGAAATAACCGACCTTGTCCTCCGCCACCGATCCCGATGGAGGCATCGGTGGCCATGTGGTAGCTAACCGAGTAGCCCACCACGTTGACCAACACCCAAATGTTTCCAACGATGGAAATCCTTAGCGCATGTTTGGTGTAGAACTCCCGAAACGAGTACGGAATGATCCCTAGAATGGACGAAGTGTAGAAAAGCACCTTGACCGACTCGAGCAAACTTGATCCGATTTTTCCAGCCATTCCTTTCCGAGTGCAACTAATTACTACTAAGCAAGATCCCCATATGCAACTTAATCGGTACATTGTCGAGTTTTTGAGCGACATTTCGTGTCACTCAAGAGTCAAGAGATGGTGCTAATTGATTGAGGTGCGGAATGATGGGGGAAAGCGTTATTCATTATTAATTGATTACACCATTAACGGAATGAACTTTTACTCTATCAGGTGAGAGATGTTGTTGCAGGTGTATTATGACATGCAATCAACTAGCAATGTTGGAACCATGTTACATTGATGCTCGTTGTTATGATAAATTGAATGGCATTTTCAAGGTTTTTTATCCGGTTTAAGGAAGATGTGTCCATTTAGCTAATGCTAAATAGTTAGCATCTACTTAAGTTTACTAGTCCAAGCAGGTGATGATTTCTTTGTATGTTACTAGGTGAATGTATCAAATTTTCAAGATTTCCATCCAAGCCCTTTAGGCAATTATCGGCTCTACCCCATTTGCCATTTTTTTAAACTCTTTATTTGTTTAAAATTTAAATTAAATTACAATTCATTTTAATGGAGCTCCAGCTACTACAGTAACCTACTATCTTTAATAGTGTTAACCAGTGTTGGCAAAATCAGAAATCAATTGATATTTTTCCGCTCTCATGCGCTCGCCATATCACTCGTGATATTGGAACAAAATATCATGCTTAATATTGATTTTACAAGCTCCTTGGAGATTGCGAGACTATTCACAACGTGCAAAAATCAAGCTGAGGGTTGACTCGACACAAAAATGATTCCGTTGCAAATCGTTTTCTTAGAAAGAGAAAGTATAATTTGCTATCTCTTTTTACTTTTCACCGATGGCAGACACGAAGTGACTGCTGCCAGCCGTTATGGAAGTTTCGGTTGCATTCGGGTGTAAAGCAAAAATCGTTAAACTCAATCTCACCACAGTTTGATGAGATTTGCAGCTGGTGAGTTTTGTTGGCTTCATATTCCGAGCTGCGATATCACAGCTTGCAAAATCCACCGCAGTTGTTTGCTTGTAGATTTTTGTCTACGAAAATCAAGCGTGATCTTGGGCGTTTGTGAGATTTGATTTTTTGATATTTTCCCAACACTGGTGTTAACTACCCCATTTCCGGCCTATTAAGCACAACCCGCACTTAGTCTTTCTTAATCTAGCGCAGTTTAGCTCCAAACGGAATGTTATTATTACTGATGGCTTCCAAATTTATTTACCTTTCCGTGTGTACCGTAAGAGCTTAAGCTTGAGCTTGAGCTTGAGCTTGAGCTTGATTGACCGCCCACGGTTGCTACTCTGTTATTGCCAGATCAGCTGCAATTACACAGAGAACCAATAGACGATGCTTGGGACTAGCAATCATCCTCAATGTGTAAAAACTGGTGATCTTAAATTAGGCAATACCAGCGCCGGCCGCGTCCGAACACAGGTCAAGAAAGGAATGGGAAGGATTGTGTTGACATGACACTCGCTTTGATGGAAGCCGAGAACACCTCTGCACTTCCACGAGGAATCACTGGGATGTTGGATAAGAGGGTTGGGTTTGCAGCAGGGTTCGTTTTGGTAAACGATAAGCTGAATTAATGTCCTAACGATCATATAACGCGAAGGAGCTTGGGACTAAACCCACGGTCTTCTGCTCAGTAAGCAAAAACGTTTGCCACTAGGCAGACGAGCACCTTTTTAATCACCGAGTTGCTATTATTACCATGTAGTCATATTAACAAATAAAACGATTGACGAATCTTGAATGTGGATGGGCCTGAGATTAGACTCATGATGTTCTGCAACACAATAGTTGGGTAAAGAAGAACTGCATTATAACACACCATCGACTGGAAATGCTCTCGCGACGTGGGGCTTTAGGTAGTGATGAAAACGTCGCTAGAACTATTCCACAGCCGCAGTCAGTTTATGAGCAACAAGAGGGACGCACATTTTTGCCTGTGGACTTGGAGACATACTTCAAGTCCCCGCGTACATCGTACGGGCTAGGCAAAAATGTGCGTCATCTTGAAAACTGTCGCTTTAATGGCCCTTCGCTCATTTTCAACTTCTATTCAATTTTCATACTGCCGTACTCTAACGGAACTATCCACCTACATTCTTCTAAAGATCATTCTCTAGCTAATAAATCATCACACTAAAGCTTCATGTTAGCATTTCCAACCAACTCTAAATAATACTATTTAGTCATATAAATCACCACAGCTCATTATCTTCAGCGTTATCGGTTTTCGTTTCTGGATCTTTAGTTGCCTCTGTGATATACTTACTTGCGGCATACTATTTTGGGAGTGTATATGAGCGTGTACCATGTACGGTAGCTCATCTCTCATCGTGATGGTGGGACATAGTAGACAAATTAGAGAGAAAACAAGGAGGTATTAGTATTAGTTATATGTAAACAAACAAAACAAAAGAAGAGAAGAGGAAAGAAGAGCAAACAAATAAAAAAGGGATGAAGTAGATAACAAATAAAAGAAACGTAGGCAGATTATTAGAAAAGGCATTATCCGAGACTCGGCAATCAAATGTCACTCCCGCCGAGATCTCAGCGAAACCCCCACCCCGCCGAGACCCGCACAGCCGAGCTCGGTAGAAAAAACTAAGTGTGTAGATAGATTAGTAGGAAAATAAATAAAACTACTTTATGACTCAAAGTGCAATGAATGAGCGTTAGTTTCGGGATCATTTCAGTGTTAGAGTTATGTTAGTTTTGATCCGTAATCAGCCCTGCCGGCCCTTCCAACATTAGTTGCAGGCAGTGGTTGTTAGATAACGCGGCACTGTAACTACTACTATTTTAGAGGTATGATTCGTCAAGTTTATACAACTCAATGTTTCAATTGAGCCAAACTATCTATCTTACAATTACAAAAGCAAACCTAAACTTACAATTATATGCAAATGCAAAATGAAACTTGACAAATCATCGTCAATCCCCTTATTACAGGGCAGAGCCTGACGATTTGAATCTAATTTAATTTTGATCAGTGAACGGGCACCCTATGGTACATTTTCTCAACATGAACCTATCATTTCCAGCCTATCTGAACTATTTAATAAATGGAAGCCATAACATGGGTTACGCTCCCCCTAAGCGGGCCCTCCGCATCGTGTCTCTGTCTTATCTCAAATACAAGATGCCAATGGTATGAATGTATCTATATATACTAGTCAGGCTTCAGAATCGTCGTATTTTACCCATTGAGTGTTGATTAGTCACAATGAAACATTGTGACAGAAGTTGAGGTTACTAGTGTATTAAATAATCTAGGTCCTATTTTGGATTATATCTGAAAAATCCAAATCTGGCCAACGCCCACCCTAAATCTAAACCTGTTCTAATCCACCTGAAATGACTAACGAATGGAAGACTTTGACTACCCAATCATGCAATAGTCTCATTCCGTGCCTTATGGCAACTTGATGATTCTATTGCGCTCATCTTCTTGCACCACCCAGGGGAGACTTGGTCCTGTACCCAATGCTTAACTTATCTCCTTTCCACTCAGCTACTCGCAATTTCTTGTGATATAGTGGGCGGAATATTATTATATGAGACAATTCAATGCACACGTCTTTCCAAATTTGGCAGATCGACAGGTAATCGGTGAGTTACCACGATAGTTGCTATTCAACAACTTGACAACGTCCCATCGTCAACGCTTTCTATGAGAATTTCCCATTGCAGACGCCAACGAAATGACGTCATCGAGCTATCGATCAACTACCCTGGTTATCGCCTGGTACCTTATAGCACGATGCTAGGAGGCGAACCGGAAGAATCGATGAGCTACCTCTCCCCCCCTTTCCGTGTGTACCGTAAGATTTGATAAAGAGAAACCAATCGTTGAGACATTGTCAACATTCTAACACTGCTTCTTGACGCCAAACTCGGCCTACGGATTCTAAACTCGGCCTAACGCATTGAAACACCATTGAAAGGCCAATGAATTCACTTCGTCCTATCGGATGAAGATAAAAATTGATTCGGTCGGAGCGCTTCTTTTGGTTTTTGGGAATAATGGGTGCAAACCTTCATATCACGCGTTCTCATTGACTTCGTTCCGTAGCTTATTAACTAAAGTATCGTACCAAACGTATAATTGGCTTGTTAACTCTGAAATCAAGGATTTATTTGAAGTGTTCTGCTCGATAGGCCCAAAATGGGCGATTAGGCCGAAGTAGTTCTCTACCCTAGTTATGATATATATCCAAGTGTGTTTAAAGGGTGATACGGTCAAAATTTGGTCAAGGGAAAACGCGTGTAAATCGGTGAAATCGTTTATTTAAAAAATCAAATTAAATTTCTTTTTCAAGGTCAATTAGTATAAAATTCAGGAAAAATATTCAGTTAGGCTTCCGCTTTTCCAAATCCGAATTGCCGGGGCTTACGCTTGACCCCTGCCATCAGATTTTGTACAGCCACCTTGTCCACCTTCTTCGCCGCAGAAAGCCAGTTTGCCTTGAACTGCTGCTCGCCCTTAGCAGTTTTTTTTGGTCTTCTTTAGGTTCCGCTTGACAATAGCCCAGTATTTCTCAATTGGGCGGAGCTCTGGCGTGTTGGGAGGGTTCTTGTCCTTGGGAACCACCTGCACGTTGTTGGCGGCGTACCACTCCATGGCCTTTTTACCGTAATGGCAAGATACCAAATCCGGCCAAAACAGTACGGAACAACCGTGTTTCTTCAGGAAAGGCAGCAGACGTTTATTCAAACACTCTTTCACGTAAATTTCTTGGTTGACAGTCCCGGAAGCTATGAAAATGCTGCTTTTCAAGCCACAGGTACAGATGGCTTGCCAAACCAGATATTTCTTTGCGAACTTTGACAGTTTCATGTGCTTGAAAACATCTGCTACCTTTCCCCTTCCTTTTGCCGTATAAAACTCCTGTCCCGGAAGCTGCTTGTAGTCGGCTTTGACGTAGGTTTCGTCGTCCATTACCACGCAGTCAAACTTCGTCAGCATCGTCGTGTACAGCCTCCGGGATC